CATTACATATATTAAAGATGTAGAAGGCTAGCAAGTTAGTGCTGCAAACAATTCAGAGTATAATCTTCATTAGTTTCCTCATACTTATGAGCTTGTATTGTGCTAAGTAAATAGCATCAATGTAAAAGGTACCCCACTTGGGAACAATGGCTAGCAACCTCGCCAAATAGTCCATTACTACTATATAGTCATTTTGAACCTCACTGGGTGCACCACGAATCTGGCTTTGTAAGTAAATATCTATAGATTGTACATAAATATAAAAAAATCTTTATAAAAGTGGTAAGTCAAATCAATTTAAAATTACTTTAACTCATACAAATGTGTATATTTTACTTAGCTACACCCTCATTGATAATTAATTGATATTTTTTACCTGTAAAATATATTTTAATCATAAAAATAAAAAATTGATGAATTTCAAAGTTGAAAAAGAACTTATGTACCCTCCTCCCATATAAGCTTTCTTCCACAACAATATTTTTAGGTTCACATTCATCCCTGATCTTTTGAACAGTAGAGGCTTGTCTCCTGTTTCAGATTGGATTTACAGTTCTTTCTCTTAAAAAAAAAAAAAAAAAAAAAAAAAATGTAATTCTCTTTCACTGTCAGTAGCTCTGTGCATCTTAGTAGCATTACCAACTTGCTTGGGGTGAAAAGATTTAAAAAAAAAAAAAAAAAAAAAAACACACTATAAGATAAGACAGTTATTAGATATTTTAATTTCTTTTTAAAATCATAAAAACTAATCAATACAGTGTATTGATTAGTTTGATTTCAATTAATATAATTTTTGTTTGAAATACACCAGTATTTTGCTTACTGGAAATAGTAAATTTGAAATCCTTTAACTTTCAATTAAAGCTAAAATGAAAGCTTCAGGAAAGTTTTTCATTTAGAAAAATTCATTTAAAACCAAGATATTGAAAATTAGTGGCAGTACCTAATTCAATACACTAATTTTTAATACCTTGTATATAGCCATCAGTTCAAAATATTATTAGTATTTATTTTGAGAACATTTAGTTTTAAACATACATATTTAACTGTGGAGGGAAATTAAAAAATGAAAAATGGAAGTCTTTTTTAAGTTTTTATCAGCCAGAAATTAAAACTGATTCATCTGAGTTCGATCAGTTTGTGTTATTTATTTATAGCATAGAGTAAAACATCAATTTTTACTTTTCTTAAATTAGAACTACCAAATCAATTATTAAATAAAACTAAAAGTCTAACTTTGTCTCACATAAAATATTTCATCTCTAATTGCAGAAAAATAATCATAATTTGAAACTTCACCGATCCTTTAAAAATAAATAATAGATAATGAAAACTGATTAAATGATGATTATCCTGTACTCAGTCATATAGTTAATAATGTTATTGTTAATTAATCACAATTTTATTTGACAGTTTGGATGTCTTTTGGATGAGTAAAATTTCTCTTTTCATCTTTCTATTTGATTATGGACAAAATCCCCAAAACTAGTCACTTTTTTTTGTGAGATGAGTGAGAGAAGATGTGGTAGATGGAATAATATTCCACTTTTTCACTAAAAAAAAAAAAAAAACAAAAAAAAACAACAACAACAACAACAGCATAGCATTATGAAAAAAGACACCAAATTTAATAAAAACAAAGTTTCATTGTCAAAATGTTTATGATATTATTAAAACTAAAAGGAAAGACCAAAGTATTTTTAATTATTTTTTTACTCCTTTCTAACATTCAAAATTTTGGTTAAAAGTCTTTTTTTTTATGCATCAATGGTGTAAACAGAACTGTTAATGGAAATTTTTGCACCTGTTTCCTGGTAAAATTAATTTGGGAAAGTATTGCAAAAATCAAATAATTGTCAGATTTTAATGAAACTTTCAGGACTTATTCACAAATGAATGAATTTATTTTTGAAATTATTACTTTCAGAAAATCTTAGAGTGTGTATATATATATATATATATATATATATATATATATATATATATATATATGTATGTATGTATGTATGTATGACCCCCCCCACACACACACTCTTAGTCTTACTTAATTTCATGAAACTTCTAGAAAGTAAATTCCGTACTCCATTTTTTCTTCTTTTTTTTAATTAGTTCGTGATTCTTGGAGAATATATAAATCAATTTTTTTTTCAAACTACTGCTACTTTCTCTAAACTCTTCTTAGAATCATAAATCAAAGACTGCAATAAAACTAATTATTTAATTAGATAAGCTTTTAATTACTTTTTAAGGACATTATAGTCTGAAGAAAAAAAAAATTTTCCGATGGATAATGAATTTTTACAAGAATTGTTTTCATTTTTCTTTTTTTTAATTTATAAAGTTTAAAAAAATTTTCCAAACTTCATACTCGTTATGTTATTATTTATTAAGTGATGTGAAGAATATATTTACTAAATGAAAATCTTAATACAAATCATAACGCTGTTATTTATTTTTGTGTGTAAACATGTCGATTTTGAAAGTATGGGTGACCGTACACGACATTATCAGAAAATAAGATTCCTAAAATTAGATTTATGGAGAATATTTCCAATATTCTTAAGAATACTGAGTACTTGGCGTAAGAATGGCACTAATCAGCTATTTTTATAAAAAATAAATAAATAATGAATCGACTCCAACCAATAGAATTAGAATTCTGTTTGAAATACACTTATTTTGCTTAAAAGTAATAATCCTTTAGCTTTCAATTATAGCTGAAGCGAAAGCTTCAAGAAAGATTTTTCATTTAAACTTTATGTATGCCGAATTAGTGGAGGTACCTAAAAGACTCTTCGAAAGCACATCTTTCTCTTTCCATCCACAATGTTGTTATTCAACATTAATTTGAAAATGAGTGGCAGAAAAAGGGAGTGAACGTAGCCCTTGCTCGTCCACCGGTCCTAAGTCGAAAGGATACCGTTCTTGAATTTACTTTTCCAGGTAACTAAGTTTCTATTTAAAAATAAAATAAGCAAACAATTTTCATAAACTATTTTCTTTAACGATAAAACTTTAGTAAAAAAAAAAAAAAAAAAATGAAACTTCCTAGCGAATAAGAATAAGAATAGACAAAGTACTGAGAATTTTATTAGGCATCAAAAAATTTCCAATCGAACACTGATCAATATATAGATAGCATCTGAATAATTTTGTATTATTTCGTTCAAAATCTATTTTCCTATATTTCTAATTTTGTACAAAAACTTCAAAGTTTAAAAACCCCTAAAGTATTCGATTTTTTTGCAGGTTTAATAATTCCAACAAGTGTAATGTTTTCTGTTTGAAAATAAAACAAAAAAATAAAGTCTACCAAAAATCAACAGTGTAAGTTCGTGATATCTAAGAAAATCAAATTCACAAACTAAGCAGAGGTTTGGTCAAAGAAATGTTTTTGCATGTTTATTGGGTTGGCTAGAGAACACTTAAAACTGGTTTCCGATCAAGCAAATTAATTACAATGTTCTAATACTGCTTAAAAAGGTACTTTAATTCTAAGAAGACAAAAAAGAAACTGACGTATTTAAAAAGAAAGAGAAACAATATTTTTGACTCAAAATTTAAGAGGAGCTCAGTAAGAAATTAATAGCCACAACAAAGTTTTAATTTAAATATTCTAGTGACTATTCACGTCGTGTTAAGCATGGGCAACAATAATAAAGAAGGCGTGAAAACAGATTTGAATGATAAAAGGAACCGCGTGTCCTACACTAAAAATGGACAACTCCAACAACATGTACACAAACTTTTCAAATGTTATTGATGGGAACAAAGACTTATACTAACCTACAATTTGTTTTGATGAAGAAGAAAAAAGAAATTCTGTTTTTATCGACACCAGGGCAGGAATAAAAACTTAAGTGTTAATCAACCCAGAAGATGGCGTGTAAATCGTAAGGAATCGGGGAACCGGTGCTCACTTAAGGGCGGTAACTCTGAAGCTTTATTGTGCAGATGTTGAGCTAATGACCTAAATGAAGAATTCTAAAAAAAAAAAAAAAAAAAATACGGGTACCTCGAAGTATAATCATTTATAAATTAATTACACATTACATAAGTTTATCAAATGTTTCGTACATTTTAAAAATTCCTTAATCAAAACAGAAAAATTAAATTAGGAAACTATAGATAGATCGAACCCACACAGAAATAAACACTTTGAAAAAAAACTTTTTTTAATTATCTTCTGTGATAATGATTGAGGTTGATAAATACCTGAACCGAATCTTAATTTCGTGTTGAAATAATAGTAAAAATTCACACGAAAATAAAGTAAAGCGGTTTAAATCAATTTTTAAATCAAGATAACCGCCAAAGGTTTTATGCAGAATTTATATTCTTATTGAACGCTGTGGAATATTTTCAGCTTTCGTTAGTAATTATGATTTTATCGTTTTCAGCACGCTGTAGTCATGTTTTTTGCTTATGAAAAGTTATTACCTAGATAGATTTGGAGACGAGAGTGACCTCCCCTCTGTAGCAGACCTCTTCTGTCAAAGACTGGAACTCTCTTGTGGAGGGCCCAGGTTCTTTCACAAAACGCTCGTTTCTTAACAGTTTTATTTAGATGAGGAATTAGAACCAGCCCGGCGGAACAAAAACGCTTGGCAGGGAAGTAACCCCCAGACAATTCAAATAACATCCCTGTTTATTTCTTCATCTATTTCTTCCTTAAATTCTATTTCTAACCCTTCCTGACTTCAGTCAGTGTTGCGATGAACTATTATGTCGTTGTTTTTAGAGCAGAAGTGTTATTTTAGTGTGGATGAATGAATGTTTCTAGGGTCGTATTGTTGGTCGGTGCTGCTGCTCGTCGTCGTAGAAAGTGGTAGAGGTGAGGACGACGGCACTTGTGGGAGGTGTTGGCGTTGTGGTGAGGAGCTGGGAGCCCGGCTTGTGTGGTGCTACTTGTTGTGGTTGTGGTTGTTGTTGTTAGGCCGTGGTGCGGCATGGCGAGACTCGGTAGCGAGACTTGGCGAGACTCCACCACCGGAGTCAAAATGGCGGCCAGCTGTTGCGGGGTGAAGAAACAAAAGCTTAACAACTCTATGCCGGCAATATGCTGCAACGGATCGGCCGTTCATCCCAATCACTACAAAAATGGATACACAGTAGCAAGCGCAGAAATGTGCTATTTTTGTTTTGACGTTCTACACAGCCATTTGTATAATTATGATCCGCCCAAAAGTCCGTCTTTCACAAACGATCCTTAGTAAGTATGGCCCTGCTTTTTTTCTTTTTGTTGTTGTTGTTTCTTTTCTGTTTTTAAATGGGATCCTACAAAACAAGAAAATAATAGTAGCTTTTCTTTTCCCCCTACTTTTGTATATATTCTATAATTATAAAATTAATGTTATAATAATATAATAAATTTAGTCTTTATTATTATTATATTTAAATAATTTCTCCCCCTAAAATTAAAAAAAACATGGTTATGATTCTGCCCTGGAAAAAATCCCATTATTAAAATAGATAAATAAGTAAACATTTAAGTCCTACTAAAAAATAAATTGTTTTCCCCTCAACTTCATCGAATGTTTACATCGGTAACGAAAGAGAAACAAACGTTTCTCTTTTTTTTGTTTTTTTTTTTTTTTTTTACTTTGTGACCTCTTTATTTCGATCTAATTCCAAAAATTCATAAAAAATATTACAAGAATATTTATAAACAAAGGATAAATATAATGTATAGAATTTTTTATTTTTAATCAGAAAAAAATGGTTCTGCCCTACAACATGACATGATATTGGGTTTCTAAGCCAAGTACAGATCGACCCATTTTTATTCTTGCGAGTTACAAGTGGGGCAATTTATTGTGTATGTGCGGGGGGGGCTCTCTTAGTTTTTGTTGATAATGCAGCGAACAGATTTTTAGATAATTTTATTTTTAAACTATGGAAAGAGTCGTGATTACTTTCTAAAAATATTTTATTTCTGCTCATTGAAAATGAAAACAAACTTGTATAAAAAAAAAAATTAAAAGAAAATTATTTAAAAATAAAATGGAACTTCTCTTTTTGACATCTATAACGCTAAAAATAGGCCCTTTTAGGTTTTTATTTTGATTCCCACTTGAAGTTGTAAAATCTTGTTTATAAAAACAAATATAGCTCTTCGCACTGAAGAAAAGAGTTCCTTGTAAGATTGTATGGTTAAAAAACCTGTGGCAACCGCAAATAAAAAAAATAAATAAATAACGAATTTTATTTTTAAACGCAAATATTTTTTATTTTACTTAATATTTTTTTTAATTTACTGTGAACAATTAGGGAATTATTCTATATTTTAATGTTATTGTTAGTGAATAGATATTTCTTTTAATTACTCCTAAAAATCGTTTAAATCTTCGATACACTCCTTTCCCCTTTTTCACCGAGTTTAGCTATCTAACCTTTTCTATCGCAATGAAAAATGAATCGAAAAGGATCCCCGACTTTGTGAGCATCCCGTCTTGGACGTTAAAGAGGAACCTTTAAATCTGATATTTTTAAAATTGCTTTTTTTTCTTTTCTTTTTTTTTTTTTTTTTTTCTTAAAGTAACCATTTACTTTTTTCATATATTATTTTATTTATTTATTTCGGTTAACATTTTATACGATATTTATTCTCTCGATTTTGTTTTTTTTGTGTGTCAGTAACGTTCTTCAATTCAGTTTATTGCAAAAATTATTTTTCAATAAAAAGAATACGTTCAATAAATTAATCGATCATAGTGCCATTACATGTGTTCGAGTGCATATGTACCAAGTTCTTTGTTAGAGAACCCACACTAATACTCTGTTGTGATTGTTGTAGTGTAGTTAAATAGCTTTTAGTTTTTCTTCTTGAGCCTTTTCTTAGTCACAGCTCTCGTACTCACTACAATTTGCATTCATCTCTACTTCTTGTACAAAAAAAATGTTACCATAATTTTTCTATGTATTTTTATTTTAGATTTTCAAATGAACTGTTAAGTAAGAAGAACTATGTTGATATTTTTTTAAAATTTAATTTGAAACTGGTGCTTTATTAACATAACTACAGGCATTTTTTTAAATAAAGTTAAAAAAAAACAAAAAAAAACACTGTATTAAATTTATTTATCTTTTAAATTTGTGCTATTTTTTTTTTTTTTTTTTTTGCTGGGTTTTTGTGACACTTAAAAATGATTCTATTATTTTTTTTCTTCTAAACGATAATCTTTTAAGTTTTCCTTTTAAAACAATGTGCTGTGTGGTGTCTTCGACTGTTGCTGCTGCTTCTGCACACCTACCAACCTAAACATGTGTATCGAGTCTTACTTCAGTGCTGGTTTGCTGACCATAATATTTTCCATTGTTCAGTCTCTTTATTACTGTTTGATTTTTATTTATTTTTGACTGGGTGCATTAAAGCACCTTCACTGAAATGGAAAAGTGTTAAGAAGAGTAAGTCAGAGGTTATTTGAGGGTGAATTGAATCGTATTCTTATTGAAGTTGAGTGAGTAGAGAAACAGGCAACCAGTAAAATGTTATTCCTGTACATTTTTTGACCTAATTCATAGCCTTGCCCACGGCAAACAAAGAGAAACTGTTGACATCACCTCCCTAATATGGGTGTTCTGCTTGAGAAACAATTTAGTTGCAAAAGAAGAGCAGAAAGAAAAAGGGGCGTGTTTCAATTAGTTTGTTAGTCATACCGTTACAATGAACTGTGCCCTTAGTTTATTCACCGTGTGTGTTTGTATATTAAGTACTGCCTCCAAAGATTCGCTAAAAAAAAGAAATAAGCATACAACCATACTTGATGGAAAAATACCCCAAAAAACTTTAACAAAATGTGTTTTAAAAATCTTCGTTTAATAAGAAAGACCAATAATGTGTGTGTATAGTTTTTAATCTTTTAGAAACTCCGAAATTTTGATTACAAATTTTGTTTTTCTTGCATCAACGGATGACCATAAATTATCAAGGGAAATTTGAGAGTTCTTGTTTTTTTGTTTGTTCCGATGAAAACACATGGATTTGGAAATTCTTGCAAAAATCAGATAATTGACGGATTTTGAAACTTTCAGGACTTCTTCACAAATGAATGAAATTATTTTACAAAATTTTTTCTTTTTTTAAATCTTGGCACAAATATTTCATTTTATTTATTAAATTTATTTATTTTTTACATTTTGTTACCCTCTCTCCACCACATGCTTCTTTATTTAATTTTATGAAATTTATAAAAATTTTCTTTTGTAAGAACAAGTCCTACGATGAGAAATCATCAAATTTTGGGAGGTCAAATATTCTGTTCTGAAACGTAAAAAAAATATATGAAATAAAATAGACATTATTATTTTTAATTGAATTCGGAAAGCTTTTATTTGTTTTTAGGAATATGGACAATACTGTCTTAAAAAAATTTTCGATGAATAATTTTTACAAGAATTGTTTTCATCTTTTTAAAATTTTAATTAGAATATAATCTTTCAAAATTCTGTATTAATTTGTTGCTGTCAAGTGATATTTTTAAATACTAATCATAAATAGAAAAGCTTATGATTCAGTCACCCCTCCCAGTATTTAAAAAAGAATTTTGAATTTATTTTGTATGTAAACGTGTCGGTTTTGGATAAAACTTACTTTCTGATAATGTTCTGCATGGAAGTCTGTATTTACAAAAAGTTTTTGTAAATACAGACTTCCATGCAGGACATTATCAAAAAAAAAAGTACGTGGTAAACTAAATTTAAAATTTATTGGTAATTTTCTAACATTTCGTCAGCAAGTGTCTTCGTATAAAAGAGTACCTAAAATTCAATAAAATGTTAAAAATGCTTAAAATATTAAAAATTTTAAAGATTACTGTGTATATAAAAAAGATTATATTGTGTTTATCATGTAATTTTATTACATAATTACAATTATCTCCTCCTTATTTAAATTTCCCCAACACCAAACTGTCGATACGTGTCAATCAATACCTCATAAAAGCGTGCACTTCTGTGTTAAAAAAATGTTTTTCTGCAATATCTTGAACTAAAATTAATATTTGTTTCAATTTAGATAAATTAAACTTTAAATCAGCTAATTTTTCTCAAAATAACATTTCCAAGAAGTATATTTTTATTTTTGAAAGATTTTTTAATAAAGAGAATTATTGTGTTGATGGATGATTTTTATATAAATTTTAATGATAAAAAAAAAAAAAAAAAATACTTATTCCAATCAGTTTAAATTCAGTTTGAAATTCAGCAAAGTATTTTGATTATTGGAAATATTAAATTTAATCTATTAGCTTGGAATTAAAATAAAAGTTTCAAGAAATCTTTTATTTTAGTGTATTTTAAAGGGTTTATGGAATGATTTTTAAAAAAAAAAAAAAAACCCAAAAACTTTAATACAATAATCTGAGGGCTTGGTTGCGTGGCTATTTTCAGGTAATTGATAATCATTTTGTGCACCCTTAACATCTATCACTGTAAAATAAGTCTACTGAAATTTTTTGTTTAGCAACAATTCATATGAAATTATATGCATTTACCTTTTGTCAATAATTTTGTACTTACAATCCTCGGTCTCTAAAATTGAGTCTAGGATCCTTGGTTAACAGCAGTCATTTAATTCAGTGTATCAAAGTATTATTTGATGATAGTATAGATTAGCAAACATCTTTTCAATTGAAAAGGTTAAGCATACAAAGGACTTTGACATTTTTTCCCCTTTCTTTCAAGGCTTGCTGCATAGCAAGTAATTACTGTATGCACGCATGCACAGCCTCTTGTCTAAGAAGGTAACATATTTGGAATCCAAGTTAGATCCTTTATTCAATAGATGACATCCTGTGACTTGTAATAATTTAATGCAAAATATATTTTAAAAAATTGGCTTTGCGTCAGATACCAACAAGGCACCAATATTATAGGTTGAGTGTAGTCAGTTTATTCAAGATCACCTTTCTCTTATTTATGCATACAAGATTGTTTTAAAAAAAAAATTAATAATAGTAATCAGATCTTGATAATTCATAATTTGATGAACCAGCGGACATTGGTTGAAAATAGATAAATTTGGTAGAGAAAGGCATGAAGATTAGTATTATTTTTGCATCTCTTCACTTTTGAGATAGAACTTTTCCAGATATTTAAAGTTTTTATTATGGGACATTATTTAATTGAAATATCAATTCAAATTGATAACCCTTATTAAATCAACCTAAAAAAGAAGTTTGTACTTTTTGTGTTTTATGGCAGTATGTAACA